GAGGAAGGAACAAAAAAAAAGATAAATAAATAAAAATGTCTGAAGCCGCCCATAGTCTCTCAGCAGAAGTTGGTTCATAGCCTCTTTACCTGTATGTAGGTCGGGAGATGGGGAGTGGGTAATTATAAAGGCTTTGCAGCCGAGAAGAACATGGCCTTGATCGCTGTCTGGGGGACTGGTACACCTGGGCCCAGTTGGATTAGAATCCATACAGCTCTGGCTCACCATTGACAAGTAAATTAATACCACAGGCCTGTGGGTTTTGTTTTGTTGTTTTTACGCACTTGGTTTTCCTCGTCTCCTGCTGTATTACGGAAGGTACAGCTTCCACGTGTTTAGGTGACTACGTTCTCAAATTGTCCTTTGGTAAAGTGTGTGTCACTGTGCGGTGTGGAAGGCCGGTCATCCATCCTGACCATCTCTCCTTCTTCCCCAGTTCATAAGAAACCACTTCAGGAAGTGGAGATTGCTGCTATCACCCATGGTGCCTTGCAGGGGCTGGCCTACCTCCACTTTCACTCCCTGATCCACAGGTAAGTCCAGACCCCAGCTTCCTTTCCACTGCCTTTCCCAACTCCGGAGCCCAGGGACCGTGGGAATCAGTGTGTGTGTTCCAGTTCTGCACCTAAGGGACCACAGGGAACAAGCAGAGACACCACCCCCCCAGGCTTCTTCACAGCTCCATGAAGACAGCATCCCTCTGATGTTTGGGGGGGGCGTATTTATTTGTTGTTTGCGGGTGATAGTTGTTATTTTTAGTTTAGATTTCTTTTTCTTTTCTGAAACAGGGTCTTACAATGTAGCCCAGGCTGGCCCCGAACTCACAGTGTAGCCCAGGTGGATCTTGAACTCCATTTGTCCTGCCTCAGCCTCCAGAGGGCTGACATTGTGGTGGGCATTGGCATGCCTGGCTGCCTCCTGATGGCACAGGAATATCTGAAGAAGGGTCGGTCCATCCTCTTTTCCGCTCTGGGCCAGGAACAGAAGTCCACTGACTTCCATGCACAGAATAGCAACCAAGCTGAGCCCCTGCCTTTCCTTCTCCCGTTCCTGAGACTTCCCGTTCCTGAAGTCTGTGTCAGAAAGGCTCTCAGCACATGGTGGCTCACGACTGCCTGTAACCCCAGTTCCAGGAGTTCTGACTCCCTCTTCTGACCCCTGTGGGTGGGCATTGCCTGCACGTGGTACATGACATGTATGTAGGCAAAATGTTCATACACAAAATATAAATAAATTTTTTTAGAAAGGCTAGATTAGACTGGGGTGTGTGTGGATCAGTACCAGAGCATTTGCATAGCACACACAAGGCCACCATGTCCATGTCCATCCCCAGCACCACAAAAAAAATAAATAATGATATAGACAAAACATGAACCAATCGCATATGGTAAATAAGAACTAAACCCGTTTACCGTTTAATCAATGGATTTAGCAAATTTTTGAGGTCTGTTTCCTTGGAGTCAAGGTATAATTGCTGGATGGTGACTTGCTTGAAAGTCTGCTGTGTTTTTTCTGAAGCCACAGTTTAGTTCATATGCGTCCCTCTTACCTTAATCCACATGGTACTTACGAAAGAAATTGAGAAGACAAAAAACAAAAATTTAATGTTCTTTACATTTCAAAATGAACGCCAAGCATGGTGACACACACCTTTAATCCCAGCACTCAGGAAGCAGAGGCAGGAGGATCCCTGTGAGTTCAAGGCCAACCTGGTCTATACAGTGAACCACGGGACAAAGAGAAAAACAGTCTCATAAAAAAACAAAACAAAAAAAAAAAAAAAAAAAAAAAAAAAAAAAAAAAACCAATTGTTTTTAAAGAGTCCATAGCCAGGTACAGCGGCATAGGCATATAATCTCAGTACCTGTGAAATAGAGGCAGAGAATTAGAAGTCCAAAGCCAACCTCAGCTACATAAAGAGTTCGAGACCAGCCTGAGCTATGTGGGGCCCAGTCTTCAAACAACATGAATACCGTTCATCTCAACTTTGTATTGCTTTGAGGGACGTTTTGTCTCTGAGCCCTTCTGTTGGGAGAGAACAGACAGTACCTTTGTTTGCAGTCCCTCTGCCCGGTGTCGCCGCGGAGGAGGGAACCTGTCATTTCGAGGGGACTTTTGGAAGCGTTTAAGCCTATCACCTTCTCTCCACTTTTTCAGCTGTCTCTTCCCATTATCAACTTGCTGTTCGGGTGTCCCAGTCCTCATTACACATCATTCATACCTTAAGAAAAATAAGGGGACAGCCACATCATCCTCTCATTCTGAATTTTCAAATGCTATTTTTTTCCCCTAACGTTTCACCGCATCAAATATCAAACATCTTTAATAGCAAACCAGCCACAACCCGCCATTGCAATACTGAAATGCAAGTTCCTAACCCCTAATCCTTGTCTGTTTTGATCTTCCAGGGTCTTCTTTGTACTGTACAGTGTTATTTCTTAAATAACACCTTTTCTATAGCCTGTCCCCTCCCATGCCTTAGAGGGGCAGTTACAGTTAAAGGCAGAGAGAAAGGGTCTCGGGCAAGACAGAACAGGTATGTGTCCAGCTGAGGAGCCCCCGCCAGGGCGGCCACGCAGGCATGTCAGACAGCTTTGGAAAGGGGAAAGCAGCAGGCAGTTCCGAGTGGCGCCAACTTTCCCCGCACGCACGAGGAATGTTGGCGGTCGGGGGGATAGAGCATTGAAGAACACGCTTTGTAAGGGTCGCCAACTCGGAGCTCTCCTTGACTGGCATGGCTACCTCTTTCCCTTGCTCCACCCCTCCCTCTGAAGACAGCTCCTCCTGGAAGTCCTTCCAGTGACCGCCCAGGAATGCGGGCTCCCTTACAACACGCAGTGACCGCTGAGAAAAGTATGCTTGTGTGTTTAAGAAACTTTTTATCTTGCTAATTGCATGCTCTGGCCTCCTGCATAGTCAGAATCGAGACCTTAACTCTCGAATCCTCCCCTCTCTCTCTCCTGCAGGGACATTAAAGCTGGAAATATCCTCCTCACAGAACCCGGGCAGGTGAAGCTGGCTGACTTTGGATCCGCCTCCATGGCTTCTCCTGCCAACTCCTTCGTGGGGACACCTTACTGGTGCGTAGACATAGAAGATACGAAGCAGGCTTAAAATATACAAGTGTGAGCAGGAGGGACGCTTGGCATGGGCCTTGCTGTTTCTGCAGTGGTAGGAATTGAACCCAGGACCTGGAGCGTGCTGGGCAAGTGTTCAACCACTGAGCTATACCGCAGCTCCTTTGTTTGGAAACACTGCCTCACTAATTGGTTCAGATTTTCCTCATATTCATTCTCTGTCCCAGGCTGCTCTTGAATATGCAATCCTCCTGCCTCAAGCTACCATGGAGCTGAGCATACAAGCAAGCCTGCATCACCAGGCCTAACCTTGTTTTGTCTCTCAGTGGTGTGTTCCCAGCCAGGAGTGTTGCACACCTTTAATCTCAGCACTCAGGAGGCAAAGGCAGATGGGTCTCTGTGAGTTCAACCAGTCTACACAGTGAGTTCCAGGACAGCCAGGGTTACATAGAGAGAGAGACTCTATTTAAAAAAAAAAAAAAAACTGTGTTCCCAATGTTTCAATGTTCCCCAATCAGATTTCATTTGAGAAGGTTAGAGACCTCACTAACCAAACAGAGTGACCTGAAATTGCTCAAATGGTGCAGCTGGCTTTGGGTCTCCTTTGTGTGTTATCGATTTGCTGGGCTAGCTCTGTCTAAGGTTTCACTGGAGATCTCTTTTGAACTGCTCCCCGGAGGCAGCGTGTTCAGGACAAGGGATCTTCTTTACAGCCCTCTGGCTGGCTACCAAGCCAGGATGGAAGAAATCCAAGCTCCCAGCTCTATCGAGCTCTCTGACACTTCATCCACTTTGACGTCATTCTGACTTGGAGTTGTCCCCCACATTCTGCTCCAGATCCCCTTTAAACGTTCACAGATACACCCGTCATGTTACTGTAGCTTTGAAAAAGACACATTCTGGAAAAACCCGCTAAGAGCCGCTGCTGTTTGACCTTTGACCTCATGGTAAGATAGGATTTACAAAGCCACTGCCGACGTGGAATAGACCGTAGCACCAACCAAAGCAAACTGAAGGCCGAGAGCCTCTCCCTTCTGGGGGTCACACATGCTGCCCACCTTTACCTGTTTGGGTCTGTAAATCACAATGTCTTTGGAAGCACAGATCGCGGTCCTTTATGCTGTCCCTCCGGATATTTTTCATGTCTTTTAGAGTAATTCATTTGTCTGTGCTCACAACACACTAAGCGTTTACGTATCTGCCTGAGGTCCCTATGACAGGTCTCTCCATTTTTTAGATGAAGAAACAGATAGACCATGAATGAGCAACAGACTCAAGAGCAAATGGAGAGCAAAGGGTAGAGCCGGGATGTGTTGAAAATCATGTAGTAGTTCCTAGAAATCACCAAAGGGGATCTTCAATTTTTTTTTTTAATTAATTTTTTAGCTGCTGTACGGAAGAATAGGTTGTGTGATATTCTCTCACATCACAGTCATGTTTTGTACTTGGTTCACATTCAGCCCGGTGTCCTCCAATTCTGCCACCCCACTGACTCCCCCACCCCAATAGTTCCCTTTCTGCTCTCCTCCCCCCTCCCTCCCTCCTCCTCTCCTAGATTTATCTTTCTAAGTCTGGCTTACTTCACGTAACATGATGATCCCCTGTTGCATCCTACATCTTAGTTCCTTTTTATTGCTGTGATAAAATGCCATGATCGAGTCGACTTATTAAAAAAAAAAAGTGTTTAATTTGGGGCTTTAATTTCAGAGAGTTAGAGTCTGTGGCTGTCAGGGCAGGGAGCGTGGCAGGAGGCAGGCAAGCCTGGTAGCAAGAGCAGTTGAGAGCTCACATCTTAAGGCATAACCATGAGGCAGAAAGAGAGAGAGACACCGGGAATGGCAGGAGCCATTTGAAACCTCAAAGCCCAGCCCCACTGACACACCTCCTCCAGCAAGGCGGCACCTTCTAATCCTTCCCAAACAG